CAAGCCCCACGACTTCCACCGCGGCCCCTACTTCAAGCCCCACGACTACCACCACGGCCCCCACTCCAAGCCCCACAAATTCCACTGTGGCCCCTACTCCAAGCCCCACGACTTCCACCGCGGCCCCTACTCCAAGCCCCACGACTACCACCACGGCCCCCACTCCAAGCCCCACGGATTCCACTGTGATTCCCACTCCAAGCCCCACGACTTCCACTGTAATTCCCACTCCTTCGACCCCACAACCCACAACCCCTCACTCTTCCACGCCATCCCCCACCCCAATCGACACAACCACCGCCGTTCCGGCAACTACCGAGCCACCCACTCCCACGTCTCCAGTGACCCCTTCGCCTGCAACAACGAGCCAGCCGTCGTCCACACCTCCAGCTACGACACTGGCTCCCGATACAACTCGGCCCACGTTGCCAGTCACGACGTCGCTTCCTTTCGTGACCGTTCGACCAAAGGAAACGCTATCTCCGATCATCGAGGAACTCATGGGCCGAAACACAAGTCAGAAAGATGGGCCTCCGAGTGCGACATCCGTCGCGGACAGTCTCATGGACGTCGCCCTGCCCACAGACACGTCACCGACGGCCTCCACGACGAAAGCTCCAGCGGCGCCGCGCCCGATGCCCACCCCACGCAACAAGACCGCCAACCTTGCGGACGACAACACTGCGACTTCATCGTCGTTCGTGTCGGTCGCAGGATCCGAACCCCTCAACACAGAGACGAACCGGTACATCTTCAACACGATCGTCGGCATCACGCTCGTCTTCATGGCGTTCTTCCACGGGATTGCGATCGATCCGTCGTACATTCCATCGGACGCCACGTTCCTTGGCGCGCTCGCTGCACCAAACTCGTGGGAACTACCCACGTTCATCTCGTTCATGCAGTGCATTGCGTTGGGCTCGTTTGTGAATGTGAATGCACCGCACGCGATCTTTGTCGCGTTCACCGATTCGTTTTCGTGGCTCGCGTTTCAAATCCACAAACGGGCGCCGACCCCCGCCGCCGTCATGCCATCGTCTCTCGTACTCAGCCATGGCCGCCAGTTGCTGGACAACGCAACCAACCACGGTGCCGACGTGTACGACGCGTTTGGCATCCAGCAATTTGCACTGCGAAGCCATGTTCGTGAAAAGGACCTCTTCCTTCGCGCGTTGACGTTCTTCTTGGTCGGGCTCGCCGTCCTCATGGCCGTCGCCATTGCGTGCACACTCGTCGGTCGTGCCCTTCAACGCCGCAGCACCGGGTTGGCTGCCGGCGGCCCCTTGTCCTGGGTTGCCCGATCCAACCACGTCAACTTTACCAACTCGCTGACGTCGTCGCAGCCGTCCCACGTCACAGCAAAGCACGTGACGCGCCACATCCTCGGGCTCACCGTCCTCTTCGGCGTCCTGAGCGTCCTGCCGCTCTCGATGGTGTCTGTCTACGAAGTCATGCAAGACATCAGCTCGACGTCCGGGTTTGGGTCGCTCACGGGGCTCATTGCCGTCGGGATCGTTGTCGCTGTCGCGTCGGTGGCCGTCGGCCCCGCTTTCATTCTCTCGTCCATGTCCGAAGTCGACCTGACCAAGTACAACGCCAAGGCGACGTTTGGGGTGCTCTACGTGAACCTTCACTACGACCGCCGACTGTTTGGCGCAGTCTCGACCACGGTGCAGCTCGTATCCGGGGCCATCGTCGCGTTCAGTGCGTCGAGTCAGCCCGTGTGGCTCGCGGCCATCCACGTCGTGTACATGGCGCTCGTGCTAGCGATCCGCCCGTTTGTGTCGGCGCTGCAACTCGTGGTCACCGTGTTGTTTGAACTGTGCCTCGTTGCCGTGTACGTCATGATGTCGTTTATGGCGGCGACCGACGTCCACACAAAGCGTTCGCTTGCCTATGCTGTCGTAAGCGTCGTGTGCTGCCTCGTTCTGTTTTGCTTTGTCCGGTGTCTCGTCAAGCTATGGGTGTTCGTGGATGGATGGAGCCCGAACGACGACGAGCTTGTTGGCACCGGCGGCGGACGCGGGGACACCAACACGTCGCAGTTGATCGTGCATGCCGGGGACTTTGGACCGAACAAGGGAGCGGGCAGACATCGGCGACTCCCGGCATCGTCATCGACTCGCACGATCCACCTTGTCCAGGTAAACCCGAACGCGATCGTCTAACGCTGGGAAGAATCTGTGTTGTGTGCATTGTCGAGTCTCGACGCCTTCATGGACATGGCTCGAACTTTTGCGGCATGACGACGCGCGTCTGTGCCTGCAATGCCCACGTCGGCGCCTCTTGCACGATTCCGAATGCATGCAGGAACTCCCACTTCTTTGCCCAGCACAGGAGGACCACATGCGCAATGCCATGTCGATGGCGCTGGGACTTCACCGCCGACCCCATCTCGTCCTGAAGCGCCGCTTGAAAAGTCCGCATCTTCACGGATAATTCCAATCACTGCTTCCTGTCACTCTCGTCATGGACCTGCTACGACCGCTTCGTTTGTATACTGTTTCGTTGGCGGCAATTTCCTCGGCGATCTCGAGGTGGTGGCGAAACGAATGTGCGGCGGCGCCACTACGATAGACACGGAACAATCGTACGCCCCCCTCGGTTACATTCCGTGGTCATGTTGTGGCCGACGACTGCTGCTGCCGCAGCTTGAGATACCACTTGGGAACATTGACTTGGGTGTTCGTTGCTTGGTCAGGTTGGCAGTGAGGGCTGGAGTTGCTCGCACACGTTTCCACCAGCGGTGGCGTGGATGGCCGCTGCGCCTTCAACACCATGTTTTTGAGCGTATCCAGCTCGTGTCGGCGACTCAAGAGTTGCTGCAGCTGGTTTTGCAATGCCAGCTTTGCTTGGAGTTGCTCGTGTGTTTCTCGTTGTTGTCGGGCATATGCTTCCTGCACGCGCTCGAGTTGGCCTTGGAGCGTTCGGACTGCTTCTTCCTTGGCATGGAGCGACTCCACCTGGTCGAGATTGTAACGCGAGTGGCCGCTGACACGCGTTCGACACACGTACCAGAAATTGCTGGGGCTGGTGCATGTGGTGGACGGTTTGCCGCGCCGTCGCGAGTTCGGTGGCCAGTTGCTCGCGTTCCAATTCGCTTTGTTCGAGTTGCTTTGCAAGGACGGCAAGGTGCTGCTCGTGCTGGACAACTTTCTGCGCCAACGCCACGCACTGTTGAAACTACGCCGACGATTCCTTGAGTCCATCTACGTGTTTACACGCACCCGTCGCTTTGGCGCGGTCGGTATCATGGCAAACGTTGCCGACGCATCGTCTGAGACCGACTGCAAAATCGCATTGTCCATGTCGACTTCGAGCTTGTCGTATGCCTCGAGTTTCTCGCGCTATGGCTACATGAGCCATGTGTCGTTGGTCGCATCGGTGTACCTCTGCCGCTACCGCGACCTGCAACTCCGTGATCTGCTTTCCCGTCGTTGCTTCCAGTTTCGCAAACCCGGCTTTGTGCACGTCCACCTGCAAGCACGTCGTGGCACGCCCTCATATCCCTCGTTACGATACCTTTTGCTTGAGCATGTCGTTCTCCAAATGCGCCTGATGGAGCTGCTGGCTCTTCTCGTCAAACTGCCGGCCGAGTTGCGCGAGCTAGACATGCATTGGAAAATCCCATCGCCATGCTGTGATACAGGTCGTGGTGGTTTACTTCAAAGTGCTTGATCTTGAGGTCGTTGCGGACCGCGGCCAACTCGGTGGTGGCCTTGGCGTCCAGCCGCGTCAGTTCCAGCACCTCCGCATGCGTCAACCTCATTAGATGTTGTTTGGACGATCGAGAAGCGCCACGTGTATACCTTGTCTTCGTACGCATGCTGCAACTCGGCAACCTTCTTTTGGAGATGGTCCACTTGGCTCTGCGCGTCCATCCGAGCTTCCCGCAGCAAGCGATTCTCCCGCTCGTACAGGTGCTTGCCGTTGTCTCGAAGCAATTCCATTTCCTTTCGTGATGCGTCCTGAAGCTTGGCCAGCTCAACTTCCATGCGGTGCTGGACGTGGTCGAGTCAGTGCGACGCGCCATCTTGTGGTCGCTACCTCAAACAGGACACGGCTTTCTTCTCGAGTCTTTTCCAGTTGCTCGAGAAACGTCTCCTTGGACAGCTCGAGCCGGCGGCAGTTGGCGGTGGCCTCGTCCAGCGCACTCGACAACTTGAGGATTTTATCCATCGCGGCTTCTTTCTCTTGCATTAAGAACGCCTTGTCCCCGCTCAAGAGCTGGACCTTTTGCGTGAGTTGGTCGACTTCCACCTGCAACTTCCTGAGCAACGACAGAGGAGAGGGACGTGTGTACTTGCAACCCGCCGACGCACTGCCTCGTTCGCGCCAGCTCGATATCGGTAGATGTGAATTTTTCTCGCCAGTTCACGCCGTCGTCAACCGCTTGTGTCGATTGCATTCGACGTTGCTCAAGCAACGCGGCCTGGACAGCTTCGAGTTGCTGGGCCAAGCCGTTCCGCTCCGTCTCCATGTCCTTCAGTGCACGCGCGGTTCGGTCCTCGTGCTGCTTGGCGATCCGGGCCGTGCGCTCCAAGTCTGCGATTGCCGTCGCACACTCGGCATGGCGAGAAGCGAGCACGTCCAGGTCCTTTGCCGCACGGTCCGCTGCGCTCACATGAGGTTGGATGAGCTCATACACACGCATTTGGACAAACTCGGCCAGCGTCAGCAGATCCTTGTCTTGCTTTTGGAACTACGAAAGACCAGCAACGAATGGACAAGTTCCAGCAGTCCATCCAGTTGAAAATGCGTTTCCAACGACCAAAATGACACGAGAATGTCTCAAAAGAGAGACTCCAATTGCTCTTGCAACGACCCCAACACGATGTAGACAAACTAATGCATGTACCTCCTGAGCTAACGCATCGGACACGCGCAGCTCGACGAATTGGGCCTTTTCGGCCTGCAGTCTCCGCTCCAACAGCGCGATGCGGGCGTCAGCCGCCGCTTTCTCGTTTTTCCACTGCGCGGCGTCCCGACGGTAGCTTGTCTGCGATGCATGATGATGACGGACGATTGACAGGCAATATGATTGTACCTGAAGCGCCGCCACGACGTCGTCGTGTTTCTGCCGCTCGGCTGCGAGCACGCGCTGAGTCTGTGTTTTGTCCTCCAAGACGGCTGCCAGTTGCTTTCGCATCTTGTCTACTTGTACCTCGTAGAACTTGCGCATGGCATCTGGGATTCGCTGTCCGTTGGTTGCATTGTTGAACGAAGCCGACGAAGCTGTTCGCACTGGAGGTGGTCGCTTCAGCTCTGCGTCAAATGTCCGCAGACGACTGGGCGCCGGCGACACAGCTGGAGTTGTGACAGGTGTGAAATCATCAAATGAGTTCGGCAAGGACAGCGCGCTGCTGCTGTCGTCGCTCTTGTGTCTGCTGGATCGGCGCTTGTTGCCAATACTTCGTTCGTCCTTGTTGATGCTGTCCCCACTGCTGCTGGGGCTGCTACTGCTCTCCAATTCTCCCTTCTTCTCGTCGTCATCGTTGTCATCCTCGCTATCCTGTGTCGCCAACTGCTTCCCACTGGCATTGTCGCGGCGCTGCGACGTTTCTCGGCCGTCTGCCATTCTCCTGGGTATCTTTAGGGTTTTGTGGGCGAATTCAGAATGACTAATGATTGGTCAGTATACTGATCACTTAGCCAATGAAAATACCTTATGCATGCATATGCGATTTCATTGGCTATAATATAGAATCAATTGCATTCTGGATATCCCGAAACATGTCCTACCGCAGTGGTGCGATTTTTTTTCTAATTGGAGCGTAGAAGTATTAAAAAATTTTTGTCGGAATCGCCGTGGGCCAGCTCCTTGTCGGAATCGCCGCGGGAGAAGAGCTAGCTGGACGCCAAAGCACACTGAGCAATGGGGAATGCGCTAGGATGGGTCACTGAATCTACGGAAGAGAAAGCCTGGAACGCTGCCAGAGACGGAGACCTCCGGACGCTTCAAGCAGCGTGTTCGTTGTCCGCAGGAGCGATGGAATGGCGGGAAACAGAGCGGGGCAGGTCCCCCTTCATCATGGCGTGCAGTCACGGCCACGTCGAGTGCGTTCGCTGGCTCGTCGACAATGGCATCGATGTGTATGGCCGAGACTACCGGGGCAATACACCACTTCACTACGCCTGCACTCGCGGCCAGCCCACCGTTGTGGAAATACTGATGGCAACAGTGGACTTCACTCCGTTCACGTTGAATGCAAAGGGGTTGAGCCCATTGGATTCCGCCAGGGAAATGTTCACCGATGCAACTGACGACAGGGACACCTCGTTGGCGGAAAGGATCGCCACATGTATCGAGCTGCTGGAAGCGGTAAGCCAATGGACCACCATCTCGATGGCGTCACTTTCCGCAGCGATGCATAGTCCATGATAGCTTGATGTACGCGCGAGAGGACAACGCATTGTCGAGCGTTATTGGGATTGCTGCCCTTCGATCCTGGTCGATCAAGCATGCCAAAGTGTTTCGCACGAGCTCCAACATCTTTTTGGAACTGGCGCTGTTCACCATGCCGGACGAACTAGGGCAGCGTTCAAGTCCCGTCCCGAGGTGGGCCCAACGCAGTGTTTGTTTTGGTGGGTTTATGCCGCATCGTAGCTCGACGTACCTCGTCCTTGTTGACCCAGTCAATCGACCAACGACATTTGTCAAGCAGGCGTCGGCGACGTCCTGGCTACGCTCGTCCAGGTCGTTTGGATTTTCATTGCTGGTCGGCGCCAAAACCACCGCCACGGTTCCAGCGCTCTACTGGCAGGAGTTTGCCGCCGTGGATTTGCCGAGCTTGAATGCGTGGACAACCTTCTTCCTCGACACCGCGGTACGTCCGAAGGATGGGGATCCTCGATGGACTGATTCTCTCTCTTTGTTGGCAGGTCACAAAGGTGGCCGACCCCGCACTCTCGGTGGACCGCCAGTTTCACACACAAGTACTCCGTCGTCATCCTCCATGCACCCGCTTCACAAGGTGGTTGTGTTGCGGTAGATGCTCGGCCGGTCGATTGCGTACACGTCGTACGTGGCCCCGACCGCCACCATCCACGAGCCGCAACCAGAGGACATCGAAGATAGCAACGGCGTCGTCATTGCGCAGCTCCTGTCGCTTGCGCCACGAACAACGACGTCCGCCAAGGAATCGTCGACTGCGGTCGTGGAATGCGTCATTTGCTGCGACGCCCCGCAGACCGCGGTGTGCGTACCGTGCGGCCACAACGTCCTGTGCATGATGTGTGCATATGCAATTGCGTCATCGACTTCCCAATGCCCCGTGTGTCGGCAATACGTGCGCGAAGTCATTCAAGTGTACCGGAACTAGTCGAATCGCGTGGACTGGGCGCGACGATCCACGGTTTGACCGCACACGCCCATCCAGTTCAACAGAGCGCCGCCTGCAGATCCTAGCCCAGTGGCATGTGCTGCAGCAGGGACCGTCCAGCGCGTGCGATGGAAGACGCCCTTGCTGTCGTGGCGCCACATGCATCCCGTCCCTCTACCACCATACACAAAGCCATTTTTGCGGCCGAAGCTAATACAAAACGCACCAAAGAATCGATTCAAGGGAGACCTCGTCCGGCCGCAGTGTGCCATGTTTAACGAGATGTCGCAGGTCCTTCTTGGTCGCTGTTTCCGACGAGTCTGTGGCCATCGAGGAGTCCCCGACCATGAACCACACTCGAAGAGTAGAAATAACGAATTCATTTCGAGCCCAACCGTCGACTCTACTTTCTCTGTTTGCCAACGCGGCCGGTCTTGCTGAATTTCGAGACCGCATTTTTCTTGTTGCGGCGGGCCATGAGCTTCGGGTCCAGCGGGATGTATGCATACGGGTCGACCTTGCCTTGCTTCTTGACGTCGCCTGCTGCCTTCTTGGCGCGGTACTCGTTTCCGGCAGCCGGCGCCGCCGGCCCATCGCGTTTCCGTTTTTTGTCGAGGCCCATGTTTGCGAGTTTCTTTTGGACGTCGCGGCGAACGGCGTCTTCATCGTCCGAATCGCCCATTTCGTCGTCGTCATCGTCGTCCATGCCAGGGATGATCATGCTATCCACAACGCCACACAAAAAGGAGTCAGAAATGGCTCCGATACGACGTTGCAATTTGAGAAAAATCCAGGCACGCACCGGCCATCCTTGGCGACTTCAAATTCGTCGTCGGATTCGACTCGCTTGGTCTTTTTGGACGCCACAATGTTTTTGAACGCAGCATTGTCGAGAAAGTCCACAATGTCCTCTTCGGCGTTTTCCTTGATGTAGTTGCTCGCGCCGGACGCGGTCTTGAATTTCTTGGACGGCCGTTGCACGGCGTGCGCCGCCGGCTCGTGGTCGCTGTCGTCGTCGTCTGAGTCCTGCATAAACTCGTCAAACGATTTTTGGCCGCGGTTCTCGCGCTTCTGCTCCTTCTCGCGATCCTCGCGCTCCTTGGTCTTGCGGATATGTGTGATTAGTTTTCGGTCAGCTTCGGGCACGAGAGATGCCACGTATTCATATCCAAACTTGCGGCAAAGCTTCATCATAATGGTCCTGCCACGATGCCAACGAGACGTCAGTCACCGCTACAAATGGCGGCCATCCAGGCCATGCAGTGCTCACCTCGTCTTGGCGCGGAACCGAGCTTTGGACTCGCCGACCCATTGCAGCAACCCGTTCACAATCGACGGCAAGAATTCCACGAGCGCCTCCTTGGGCAAAATTGCAATCCCGAGCTTGAGAAATCCAATGACGCTCTTGATAACTTCGCGGGCTTTTTCATGGAGAAGCATCAAGACGGTCCGGAGCAGGTCGGGCATTGCGCGCTGGATCGTTTCTTCTGTACGGCCAAACTCAAACACGAGCCGGCTCAGACACAGCACGGACGCGCTGCGCATGTGCGGCGTGCGCGCGGCGAGACCCCCGAGCACCATTTGAATAAAGTCCATCAAGTTGCCTTGGTTGTCGAGCAGCTTGGCCATGGCCAGGAGCACCTCGAACGCGGCTTCGCGAGCCTTTGCGTTCGCTTCCTTTGTGCACAGCATGATTTCACCCACCAAGGTCGGGACAAATGCAGTGTCCGGGTGTTCCACGGCCTCAATCGCCCTGACGATTTGATGGAGGCATCGCAGACGCATCTTCTTGGCCGGGACGCTGCACGTCAAAAGCGATTCCGATAGCGACTCAATCATGTCGGACAAGTGTTCGGCGGCAAAGGCCGGGTGGGCATCGCAGATCGTCACGAGCACCGAGTACGCGCGCTTTTGCATGATCGGGTCTGTATCGTCCAGCATGTACGGTTTGACGACGCGGTAGAGCAGCGCGACTTGGCTCACGTCGATAATGGCAACCAGGGCCAAAGCGATGCTCATGTGCAAATGCGCTTGTGCCAGCATCGTCGCGGCGGCTTTGGCGTCGCCGCTCTTCTTGGCAGCTGTCGTCGTTTGCAGCAACGTTTGCATGAGTTGTTTGAACACCGTCTCGACAAACTCGCGTTCGGCCAGCGTGGCGTAGTTGGTGATTGTGTCCATGAGGGTCTGGAGGCGGTCCGACTCGGTGGTCGCGTCCAAGCCCTCGACGATCGTGATGAGCAACGGGAGGAATCGCGCGGCGAACTTGCTCAGCGCGACTTGATCCACGTCCGACGGGTCGTCTTCGTTGCTGGCCGTAGCGGCGGCGGCCTTGAGCAACGCTTGGATACCTTGGCACACGAGCAACTGCAGTTCCGGGTACCGTTTGTCTGACATGGCGTTGGCAAGGGTCTTGGCGATCTTCTTGAATTGGCTCGCGATGTCGGTGGGGTTTGTGCAAAAGCTTGGAAAGAGGCTCCACAGCTGCATAGTGCGCGCCTGCATGCGCTTCGATTCGAGCGCTGTCGTGGAATCTGCGCGGGCGACTGCTTCGCACGCCTTGGCCAAGGACAAGATGGTGGTTGAAAAGTACTCCAACCGACTCGACCCGGCCTTGACGGCTTCCCGAACGACCGGGATCATCCACGCCCGCTCTTCGACTATCCCTTGGGCGTTTTGGAGCGGCACAACGGCCAGCATGACTTCGGCACCGACCGCCGTCGTTGCAGCTGTCATGAACCGCGTAAACCACTTGCGCATGTCGTCGTGCGCCTGGGGCATCGAATCCATCGCAGCGTACAAATCGACGGTCGTCGTGAAGATCGAGTTGAACGCCGGGTGCGCTTTCTCGCCATAGAACGACACAATCGACGTCAGCAGCGAAAAAATCGAGGCCCAGGCGTGCTGATATCGCAGCGTCAGTAGGCCTACAGCATTTCGAGTGAGTTGCGCTGGAGTCTCGAGCCCGAAAGATCATGGGATCGAATCAGTCGTGGGAGCGCTTGCTACCTTCCAGCGAGAACAGAACGCGCTGGACAGCGGGGTGCGGACCGAGGTTCAAGGTTGCCTGCAGCGCCACGTTGAGCTGCTCGGCGCATTTGCGATGCACGTGGGTGTGCTGGCTTTCAAAGTACGTGCACATGGCAACAACGACGCGGGGAAGGAGGTCGCGCGTGCTTTGGAGCGGCTCCAGGCGGGCGAGTGCGCGACATGTGATCTGGATTAGCAAGATCGCATGCTGCTGGTCGTGGATGTTGCTGTCGAGGGTGAGAACCGTTGTGAGGATGGACGTGAGGCACTCGGCCGACAGGCGCGACGACGGTGACACTACGACCGCGTCAAATGCTTCGAGCGTGACTAGAGCGAGGGTCTTTTGGTTGGTTTGAAGCAGCTTGAGCAGCGCTTCCGACAGACTCGTCACGACTTTGCCAGGCAGGAGCGGCAGCACCGACCCAAGAAACCCGACGAGCTGAAGGACTTTGGTCTGGTCCTTCGCAACGGCCGACGCCAGAATGTTCTCAGCGAACGAAGCAATATGTGTAGACAGTGTGTCGCAGTGCGCGTCGGCATGGACTTCGAGAATCTTGACGATGGACGATTGCGCAGCTTTGCGAATTTTCGGCCGCGGGTCGGCGGCGAGCGCGAGGAGCACGTGGAAGTACTTAAGTGTCGTCGGGTGGTTCCACACACTGGCTGTCGGTTCCTGCGCTTGAATAACCATGCCCAACGCAACCAAGCTCGATCGGATCAGCGAAATGTCTTCTTCGTTCGACTGGACCGCAGCGGGTCAGATGAGTTGCATTATTCAAGACAGACGCAATTGCGAAGCATGGTAGCAGCCATGCACTCAACAAGGATGAAGCCACAAGTTTGTACCTGCATGACGCGAATGAGTGCGTGGGCGACGGCGTCGAACTTGTTGCGCAAAACTGCATCGTGCACTTCAGGCAGCACCATCGTTAGCAGCTGCATGATCTCATGCGCATGCGAGCTGCTGTCGTGGGATTCCAGGGCCGTCATGAGCGCGGCAAAGTATTCTGTGTTGGAGATCGGCTGATTTTCCATGTGGCTTGCTCCACGCCGTTCAATGATCACGTCCGAGATGGCGGCCAAGACCACATTCAGCTACGCCACAACTCGTGTGAAGACCCAGACTTCGCCATGGACAAGACACAACAAGACAGCGGCGCCGCGCAGCCATGGCGACGATAGTCACGCACCTTTACTTTCTGGGGGTGGTTGCTTCCCGCGTGGCGGCGCAGCTCCGAGAAGACGTCCATGACAGCAAACAATTCTTTGATGCCTTTTCGATGCGGAACGGGACCATTCGTTTACCGGTGGAATTTCCAACCAATCACACAGCGGGATTCTGTCCGCCAATCGCAGCGCCAGCGCAACTTCTCACCGATCAAATTGCAAGTCAAAGTACTCACCGACGCGCCCTTTCGGCTAGCGTAACGGGTCGCCGTTACAGGGTGAACAGGGAGGGCTAGTCGCCAGCCCAGATACGCCCGCGCTACGCCAGTCAGCGCACGTGGATCGATGGGCCGTGCTCGGACGTGCCTCACTGCAACGGAGGAATGCGGCCACGAACCGACGATGATATGCGCTTGGGTGACCTCTCTTCACGTTGTCATTCTTCAGTGGTCAGGCACCGTTAGAAACGTACCAGAAGACATCAGTGATATCGGCCGGTGTTCATTCTAAGGATGAATGGTACATAGACAAAGGTCACGAACAGTCTTGATATATTTTGTCAACTACATTTGCGAGGTAGGTCGATCGTTGGCGGCAATCAGGGATCGATTGCTGCGGAATACCTGTCAACCATCACGGAAACGCAGTACAGAAACCATCCCGAGCAGTGCCACCTTGACATCCCTTTATATCGCGTATACCTTGGCGTTTGTCTCGACGAAGTTGACAGTGTTCGTCGGGGTGTGGAAGGTTGCAAAGTTGTCCATGTCGATGTCGAGCGAAAGCGTATCGTTGGAGTTTCGACCACAGTGGGTAGTGTGGTCCATCGATTCCACTTGTGATACCGCCCCTTGACTGTAGATCGAGTTGATTGCGCTCATGTCCGTGCCCACCACAAACATCCACAGCTTATACAGGCAGCGAACAAACATCCCAACGACCACAATGCACACAAGGACGATCACGGCGTACGCCAACGTACGCTTCGAACTGGCGTTGGTTGTGTGGGCCATTCCGTACGCCATGCCAAACACAGCCACGACCACAAGTTCAAACACGACTGTGAACACGAGTTGCAACGTCGAAATGAACGGGGATACCATGGCAATCAGAATGGCGTACGCAAGGTGCAGCCCCATGAGCAAGAAGAGCTGCGTCGACGGCGCGACGACACTGGCCGCAAGAAGGCCGGTGGCGTACTGCACCGCAAGCGACACGGCGAAGAACGCGCGAAACTCAAATTTGAGGTTCGTGTACAACACGCCAAACGTGACCTTGGCGCGGTACTTGCTCAAGTCGACATTCGTGCACCGGGAAACTATCCAGGCCGCGACTAGGATGCTGTCGCCGAGAAAGATTAGCGCGGCGAGCGAGAACACGCCAGAAATCGAACCGACCCCGGCAGTCGACGTGACGTTGCGCATGAGCTCGTACATGGACACCGTTGCGAGCGGGAGAACTGCGATCGTGGCAAACCAAACGGTAAATCCTTGTAGCCGATGGCTCGCTTCCTCCATGTGTGCAGCGTACCTGCCCATGGTGGACAGAGTGAACAGGACGCCGCGGCGCTTCGAAGCGCCCGCCACCAAGGCAGTGATGACCACGAGCGCCAACAGACACGAGAGCACGATGAAGCAGAACGTCCAAGCTCGGACAAACAGGTCCAACTCGAACACGTTCATGCGAAGGGCAAACTGGAGTATCCCAAACGCGCCACTTGACGCTATGGCAGCATCGTCGTTGGCGCTTGCCAGCGTGCGTTGGTGTGCTCTGGCCATGTCGGAGAGCACGTTCGCTGCTGCATGAGTCTTGGCCAAGGGGGACGCCGACCCGCGCACGACAAAGTTGACCCACGAGAACGAGTCAGTGAACGAGACCAATGCCGCGTGGGGGGCGTCCACGTTGGCACATGACAAGATGGCGACCGTTTGCATGAACGACACGAACGACGGGAGCTCCCATGAGTTGGGTGCGGCGAGGGCTCCCCATGGTGTGTCTGGGACCACGCACGTTGTGTCCATCGCGACATAGTGGAAAAACGCGAGGAAGGCCAGCGTGACCGCGACAACGGCGTTGAACACGAAACGACTCGTACGATGTCCGTGGGTGTCGGTGCTTGGGGCAGACGCTTGCGACGGATCAATGTCGCCCACGCCGGATTCTTTACCCGAGGAATTTGTGCGTGATGCCGAGATCGGGCGAGTTGGGGCGGGGCCGTCCATCGCATCGGGGCCACCACTTAGTTCACCAGGCACATTTGCGTTCGATGGGGAAGGCGTCGAGCCCACGGAACCTTCGGACGACACCGTTGTCGCAGGGCGCTCGTTTGTTCCCGTGGCATTTTCCTCTACCTTGTTCGTGATCACGGGCATGTCTGTTACGCCGGGAAAGGTCGAAACGGGTTGCAATGACGGTGCCGTGCTGGTCGCCATTGGCGTCGCTGTTGGACTTGCCGTGGTCGGTTCGACAATCACGACAGCAGCCTCTTTCGTGGTGATATTTGGGGCCGCAGACACGTTGGGTGCGCTCGTAGGATGAGGAACTACCAAAATGGTCGGTGCTGCTGTCGTCGGTGCATCCGTTCGAGGTGCAGTCGTTGTCGGATCTGGGAATCGAGGGACTGTCGAATTGGACGACGTGAGAGAAAGTGGGGCGTGTGTCGTTGGGTCGGTGATATTGGGAGTGTGGGCAGGGGGGATTGCTTTAGTCGTTGTTGTGTTGGTGGAGACAGGTATAAAGAGAGCGAGTTCAGGCGTTGGAGTAGGCTCTGGTGTTGGTGCAGGCGTTGTCAGGATGGTAGTCGTTCGCGTAGGGAGGCGTGTGGCGTTTGTGGGTGCTGGAGTCAGCATTGTGACGTTCGTGGCGACTGTTGTGCCGACAGGAGGAAAGGTGATCGAGTTGCTAGTTGACAGAGTGGGTGCCGCTGACGCATTGGGTGCAGGAGCGGTTGGAATCGATGTTGCTGCCAAGATCACAGCGCCTGGAGTACTATTGCGCTGGTCTATGACATTTTCGCCCTGCGTCTCTTCAAGTGGTTGAGCCGTGGAGGCGGCCGACGAAGTGAGTGCGAGGCAAGCGGTCATGGCAAGGAAAAAGCCCATTGTTACGGCAAAATGGCGATTTGAGCGATATGGTAGTGAGTAGCAATCCTACTCGGACTTGCTTGCTCAACTTACAAACAGCCACCACTTCTCTGCCAAGGCAAAGAGTGAGGAGTCAGTGTTGTCTACCGACGTAAGTGCAAATGTGTAGGCGTGCCTTAAAATGTCACTGCGGTGGCTCACCATCGCAACTGGCTGGCGGTCGCCATCGACCACGTCGAGCGACTCTGCCACGTATGTGACAAGTAAAATCGTGAGTGAACTTCATCTTGGTACGTCAAAATTTTGGTTTTGGTGCAGCTAACTTGCTTGACAAGCTGACTGCACCAAAACAAAAGTAAGAGCAAAAATATCCATTTCGATCATAAAAGTCAATGAAACTACAGTTTGCGAAATAAATTGCTCAACTTTTCCGGATTTTGTGAAATCAATCAACGAATTATCTATCAATCATGCCGCGACATGACAACTGTAGTAGATTGGCCACGAATTGTCCAGCTGAAACCTCTTACGTCTTCAGTCCTGCCCGGGATGAGCGCAATTGAAGCTGTCGTGAGCCGCCACGAAGCTCCTACACTGTAAAACACCGCCTGTAAGGAAGCAGAGACGTCACCAAAGGATCAACTCAGAGCTCGAACAGCGTGTCGGTCTCACTTGCCGGGTCCCCATGGGACTGCTGCGATATCGTTGTATTCAATATGTGTTGCTTGATGTACCAATAAGACTTGCATCCCAAGCGGTCCCCACAATAATGTACGCTCTTCAGTCAGTGTCTGGATACCGTGTAGCGTACTGATTTCCCTCAGAGTTCTAAACGGCTCAAATGTGATAATTTTTATAAATCTATATTATAGAGTCATGGGGTCCTTTCAAACATTTGAACTTTGATTGCCATGTCGGCCCGTGGAAAGATGAAGAAGCGCATGACCCTGGCAGACAAGCACGTGTTGTGCAAGGAACGTGCATTGCGTCCAACTGCCAAGTACAATGACTTGGCCGCATGGACTGTTCAAACGTTCGACCTGGCGTGCACGCCTACGAAGGCAACAATTGGAACCATCCTCAAGCGCCATGGCAGCGAGCCCACTCGAGCAGACAGCAATGCTCGGTCGATGGATCGACCATTATCCCTACCTCTGGTGGAATTGAAGCTTGTTGAGTGGGTATATCGGTGCGAAGAGCTGGGTGTGTGTATTACTGGCGAACTAATTCGCAAGCAAGCTCAGGCCTATTGCCGTGAACTTGACATTCCGTCGGCCCAAACAATTACGTTTTCGAAAGGCTGGCTCTACAAATTTCAGCAAAGGCATGGTCTCTCGTGCAAGACCCAACACGGAGAAGCTGGGTCGGTGAAACCAGAAACTGTACGGCATGGCCGCAAAGCAATGTTGAACGTCACTGGCGCCTACAACGAAAAAAACGTGTACAACATGGATGAATC